CCCCCCCCCCCCCCCCCCCCCCCCAACCCCCCCAAGATGGTTAGGTAAAAATAGCAAAAACTGTATGACCCTTTTATAGGCCGACCCTATATTTCAGGGGTTGGCAAACTTTGGCTTCCGGCCATCAGGGTAAGCCACTGGTGGGTCGGGCCATTTTGTTTACCTGGAGCATCTGCAGGCATGGAGCCCCTCAGTTCCCTGTGGCCACGGTTGGCTGTTCCCAACCAATGGGAGCTGCGGGAAGTGGCTTCCCACAGTTCCCATTGGTTGGGAACAGCGAACTGCGGCTACAGGGAGCTGAGGGGCTCCATGTCTGCAGACGCTCCAGGTAAACAAAATGACAACGTATTAGATATTCTATTCAATGATTCCATAGAGTTGAAAATCATTAAATTTTGGTGTAGACCCGTTTATAGGCCGACCCCCGCTCTTTGATGCGTCACTTTTTTACCAAAAGTATTCAGCTTATGAATGAGTACATATGGTAGTTTATGGCTTCTACAACACCTGTGTTGGGGGGAATCCTCCCCCAGCTGCTTATGGGCTTTTCAGATCTCTTTACGCTGCTCAACCCTTCTACCCAGTGTAAAGGAGTTGAAGGAAGGTAAGGCTCTCACCCTGGATCACTTGGTGGTAAATGTTTCCATTCTTTAAAGTATTAGAGTAAAGACTTACTCATTGTCTTTGTGGTGGACAAATATAGGCAATCCATTTGCAGTACTGCTATGTTTACTGTTGTATCTTGGTCATTGGTGAATCCAGACTGAATAGTAATTTGATACTAAATCATTTTAAATATCAGAGACTTCTAATTGGATGGGCGTACAAGGCCTAGGTCTCATGTTAAATTATTTTATGCAGCTAAAGGATGGAGCAAATTAGTCTTTCTACCACAATGAGCCTTGCTGGATGGCATATTTTCCCCCTTTGCACTTGCCCACCCCAAATGATATCTATGGGACAATGATTTATTAGCAGCTGTATAGAAATAATAGTGTTTGTGTGAATGTGCATATTCATTCAATGATCAAGTTTATTTTTGGACAACAGTCATATAGTAGACATGTTTCATAGGTTTCACTTGCACAAAAGCTACTTAACATTGGCCATATCATTTGGGAAATGATCATTTTTTTCAGTCTCTGAACCTTAGGGTACTTGCTTGTTGACTGTGCTATGGCAAATGAATACACAATAGATATCTTTCTACACAACAACGATAATTTTATCCTGAATGTGGCTAAGTAGCAAACACTGATGCTGTTGCAAATCATGACAAAATACACATAACTTCATTAGCCTAAAAACTCGAAACTTTATAAAACTGAAGTGATCTGTTACAAGTAGCTGCTGAACATTAGGATAGAAGTTTGGTTGTAGGGAAATGACTTGTAGTAGTAGATAAGAACTTTTGCATATTTTGTACAGAATTCTGTCTCTGGACATTTTATTTTTCTTCACTTTTTAGGAAAAGGAACAAAAAAGGGTAGCTGAATTACAGGAGAAAAAAGAGAAATCAGAGAAGATCTTTAGAGAGTGGCTACAGAATGCCAGAAATAAGCCCCGCCCAGTTTTACACGGTTATGGCTATACCAATGGGAAACTTCCAGGTTTGTACTTATACTAGACACATACTATGATGTCTATTTAAATATTGTGGCAATCTCAGGCTTCATGATGTCTTTTTTCCAGTTTATTTAAATTTAATTTGACATTCTCAGCCTGAATCTAATTTGTCACCTTAGTGAGTAGATAACAGATACAGTATGTTACAGATATACTGCAAATATAATACCTTTTCGCACTATAAGGGCTGTATTGAAATATGTATTTTATACCCATTCAGTATTATTAAGCAACAAGCATCTTGTGGGTGGTTTTTAATTTTTTATTTTAATTTTTGGTTTTTTTACTCTGCATTTTCATCCACTTTGGACAGTGAAATTCAGTGATGTCGTGAGAGACGAAGAAAGGAGAAGAGGGTGGGACACAGGTATAATTAGGGATAATGGGATGAAAATCAGAAATGGAAAGTTTGAGGCTTATTATTGAGAGAACCTTCCTGATGGTACCCCTTTGTGCCCACTTCATGGTCCCTAAATGGACTATGAGGCGTAGAGTGGCATCACCACAGTCCAGCATGCTCTGCTGGGCAAATATCCTATGTCAGGAGTAGGCAAGCTATGGCAGGTGTGCCAAAGGCGGCACGCAAGCTGATTTTCAGTGGCACTCACTCTGCCCAGGTCCTGGCCACCAGTCCGGGGGGCTCTGCATTTTAATTTAATTTTAAGTGAAGCTTCTTAAACATTTAAAAAACCTTATTTACTTTACGTACAACAATAGTTTAGTGTTATATTATGAACTTATAGAAAGAGACCTTCTAAAAATGTTAAAATGTATTACTGGCAAGTGAAACCTTAAATTAGAGTGAATAAATGAAGACTCGGCACACCACTTCTGAAAGGCTGCCGACCCCTGTCCTATGTGGACACACTCACAAAGTTAATGTTGCAAAAAGCAGCTTAATGTTCTCACCGCATATGCGGTCTTCTCAGAGAAGGGTGTTTTGTGGAGGTAATGGAGCCAGTGGGAGTATCACTCCTAAAGGATCCTTCAATATCTTCATTAACGACTTAGATATTGGCAGAGAAAGTACGCTTATTAAGTTTGCGGATAATACCAAACTGGGAGGGATTGCAACTGCTTTGGAGAACAGGGTCCTAATTCAAAATGATCTGGACAAATTGGAGAAATGGTCTGAGTTAAACAGGATGAAGTTTAACAAAGACAAATGCAAAGGCTCCACTTAAGAAGAAAAAATCAGTTTCACACATAAAGAATGAGAAGAGACTGTCTAGGAAGGAGTACGGCAGAAAGGGATCTAGGGATTATAGTGGACCACAAGCTAAATGAGTCAACAGCGTGATGCGATTGCAAAAAAAAAAGCAAACATGATTCTGGGATCAGGGCCGGCTCCAGGGTTTTGGCCACCGCAAGTAGCCAAAACAAAACAAAACAGAACAAAAAAGCCGTGATCTGCGGCGGCAATTTGGCGGGAGGTCCTTCGCTCCCAGGCGGAGTGAAGGACTGTCCGCCGAATGGCCGCCGAATACCTGGACCGTGCCGCCCCTCTCCGGAGCTGCCGCCCCAAGCACCTGCTTGACAAGCTGGTTCCTGGAGCCGGCCCTGTCTGGAATGTATTAACAGGTGTGTTGTGAGCAAGACACGAGAAGTCATTCTTCTGCTCTACTTTGCTCTGGTTATGCCTCAGCTGGAGTATTGTGTCCAGTTCTGGGCACCACATTTCAAGAAAGATGTGGAGAAATTGGAGAGGGTCCAGAGAAGAGCAGCAAGAATGATTAAAGGTCTTGAGAATATGACCTATGAAGGAAGGCTGAAAGAATTGGGTTTGTTTAGTTTGGAAAAGAGAAGACTGAGAGGGGACATGATAGCAGTTTTCAGGTATCTAAAAGGGTGTCATGAGGAGGAGGGAGAAAACTTGTTCACCTTAGCCTCTAAGGATAGAACAAGAAGCAATGGGCTTAAACTGCAGCAAGGGAGGTCTAGGTTGGACATTAGGAAAAAGGTTCCTACCTGTCAGGGTGGTTAAACACTGGAATAAATTGCCTAGGGAGGATGTGGAATCTCCATCTCTGGAGATATGTAAGAGTAGGTTAGATAAATGTCCATCAGGGATGGTCTAGACAGTATTTGGTCCTGCCATGCGGGCAGGGGACTGGACTCGATGACCTCTCAAGGTCCCTTCCAGTCCTAGAATCTATGAATCTATAAGGAGGCCTGGCAGAACCCTGGCAGGACATCACCATGCAGAGCCAGCCCTCCTTTCCACATGGATCTCCGGACTTGGAGCCATGCTCTTGTCCTTCTCCACAGCCCTGTTCTTCATTCTCTTCCTGCTCTGAGGGAAGTCTAAGAGGAATGTCCATTATAATCACAACATGGAGTTTCCTGGGCCTCTGTCTTCAGTTTCTGTAGGGTTGCGGGGGCGGGAGGAAGGACAAAATGGAAAACTGTTACAAATGGGCATGTTGTATTATAAATGTGAGGCCTTAACTGATATTGAATATATACTTCCTTTTTTTATTTAATTTTTTGCATTTTTCCTTAAATTATAAATCACTGATATTATATTAATTTAAAACTTAAAATATTTTTTGACAGGGAGACTACCAATCTCCAAGATCTGAACACAAAACAGCTCTCACACCAGACACACAATCAGTTGCTCTTTTGGCTAGGTCTGATTATAGATGGTAATACATACTGCTTTCAAGCTTTGTGTTGGAACCTCATAACTTGCTGACAGCTGCCATCCCTTGTCTAAGTGATTTATTAAAAATAATTCTATACCCAGTTTAGTTCACACAAAAGAACATGTTCCAGACTTTGTTTTGACCACCCTGGTGAAGTATGTGTTGAAATTTCATTACAGACAAAGTGGCTTGCCATTGCAAGGGTAATACATTCCTGCTGTCATGGTTTAGGCTTCATGGTTTGGCACATAGATCATTAATTGCAGATAGTGAATGTTTTTTCCCTTGTTTGAAGAAGGGTAACAATTAAGCAAAGATTGGAATAGAAACGTGAATTCCAGAGACAAGGCTGTGGGAAACAATACTTACAAATTTAAGTTTGAAAATAATACCAAATGGTAACTTCCTAACTGTGTACATGCTCCTTTAATGTTTGCCTTGACAAGCATTGTTCTTGTTACACCGTATTTGACATATTTATATTGCTGATCTTTAAAAATACAAATGGGGGATGTACTTACTGGGTGAATACAGAGGTGGATGACTTATAGCCATTAGTAGAGACTGATAAATTGTTCTAAACTGTTACATACCATGTCCCATAAAAGATCTTAAAGCTATTCTAAATTATACTGTTTATAATCAAGTTATTTAATTTAGCCCAAGAAAGAATTGCTAGTCAGGAAATGCCCCAGGTTAATCCAAAAATGATCTGGTACACTTCAATTTTTTATTGTGTTTTCAGTATAAATATTTCTTTTTTCTAATTGTGTGTGTTTTCTAAATATTTTAGGATACTCCAAAGGAAATTCATATCCAGCTCCAGCCTATTGTAACCCTATTCCCTGGAAACCAATTCATGTGCCACCGCCTAAGGAAGATAAGAATGTTACAGTGAAAAAAAATAAGAGACCTATATCCAGTCAGTCATATAGGTCCTCAGCTATGGTAATCCATAAACCCAAGAACAATCTTTGTATTGGATCATTGCACAGAAAACAAAGATAGTATAGGAAGCAAAATAACTTTTTTTTATTAGCTTGATTTAACTAAGTTTTAAAGTACAAAAGTTATTTCTTGGTTAAGTGTTTCCTTAAATGTTAAAAAATACAGTGTTGAAAGACAACATTTTATCAGCTTTTAACAGTTGTGATCATTTAATGTTAGCTAAGGAATATCTTTTCCAAAGACTTTTTAACTCAGTTATTTTAACACTTAGAAAATTATCTTTTAAAAATATGTGAACTAGTCTTTTTAGTCACTTAAGTGACCTTTATGTTTATTTTTAAAAATTTTATATGTAGCCAGTTATATTGCAACCACTCCTTGATATCAATAAAACATTAGTGATTAGTTTTTGTGATTCTTCAAAGGGGTGTGATTTTTTTTAATGTGTTTTCGGTGGTTAGTTGGGCTATTATGCTCATTGTTTTAAACATGCCAGGTGCAGCAAATTTTGAGTTTTTTGGGGGGGGGGGGGCGGGTAGGCATGGGGGCGGGGAAATGGAATGAAACTTCATTTCCTAGACTCAAAAAATTTTATGCTCCAGTAAGAAATATACCAGTACTTATTTACAAAATAAACAGTAAGTATTACAAAACCAACATGGGACCCATTACACAAATTCAGTGTTGTGTTAACCAGAAAATGTATTATATAAGTTATACTTACCTAGAATCTTTGGTTGATTGCCAAAAATAAAATGATTGTGCTACCCCAACATAATAATTCTGCTCTTTTAAAATAAAATTATTCTTTGTGGATAGTAATTGTAGGAATAGTAGTCAACTTCAGCTTCTTTCTAGCTGATGGAGGGAAAGAGCTTTACGTGAAACTTTTATTTGGAGAACACACACGTTTTAGTAGTTTACAATGGACTGAGAGGTCTTGGGGTTTTTTTGCCTTTTAAAGAAATTAGTTTATACAGTATACTTGGCAGTTGGCATTATCTAGAAAATATTATCTTACAATAAGGGAATGCAGCATCTTAGGCTATGTTTACACTGCTACTTATATCGGTATAACTTACTGTGCTCAGGGGTGTGAATAACGCCCCCCCCCCCCCACTGCGCCTTACAGCTGCACCGCTGTTAGCTTTTTAGTGTAGCCATAGCCTTAAAGAGTGGTGGTCGATTGCTTTGTGAAAGATGCATGCTTTAGGACATTAAGCTGTTGCTAGAGCAAATAGATATTTTGTTAGGGTTTGTCAATGATTTATCATGTGTAAACTTGTTTCTTTGTATGATGTCTAAAACAAATTTTCACAAACTACTTCTTGTTCATTTGTTTTTTAAACTGTTGAAAGTTTTCCTGAAAACCCATTTAATTTGTCTATGAAACTTAAATAGAATCATGGACATAAGTTTTTCTTTACAAAAATTGAAATTTAAAAAATGAATTGCTATAGAGTGCAATTACTTTTAGTTTAGTCAATAAATGTTGGGGTTTTTTGTATGGGAGAGATAAGGTGGGTGAGGGTCAATACCTTTTATTGAACCAGTTTGTGGAAGGGACAATCTTTTGAGCTTCACAGAGCTCTTCTTCAAGTCTGGGGAAAGAAATCGGAGTGTCTGAGCTAAATACAAGTTGGGACAGATTAAGGATAATGGGTAATGCATGTTGTAGGTGGTCATTTGAAATAAAGTAGGCAACTGAGGGTTAGATTGTGTCCAATAAAAGATATTACCTTGTCTCTCTAGTATTCTGGGACCAGCATGGCTACAACAACACTGCAAACATCTTTTTGTATTACCATAGCATCTGGAGGATTGGGGCCCCCTTGTGCTAGGCACTGTACACATGGTATGAGCCTGTCCTTGCCTTGAGGGTTTATTATCTAAATTGACAAACCAGATAAAAGGTAGGAAAGGAAACAAAGGCTCAGAGTAGGTGAAGTGATTTATCTAATGTCAGACAGAGTCTGAGACCAGACTGACTCCCAGCCCAGAACTCTATCCACTAGAAGCAGGGGTTCCCAAACTGTGGTTCATGTACCTCGGGGGGGTATGTGGAAGAAAGTGTGTAATGGTGGATTTTATTTATTTATTGCATTTTCATAATAGGCTGCTCAGACAAAGCTTTAAAACTGTTGTATAAAATATGGTAGTTAATTTACTTCAAGATGTACCAATGAGAACACAGAGATGCTGACTAGAGCCCTCACCTACAATCACCATATAGAGCAGGTTCAGTTGCCCACCAACAGTCCAGTCTAACTGATCTCAGAATTTACGTGGGGGTTTCGCTTGTATATGTCACACTATAACTACATCTGTATGTAACGGTGAAATATGAACAGATGGCTAAAGACAGGTAGTGTTAAGAAGAACACACAAAGTATCAGTGATAGATCTAGAAGGCGATACGCAGTAAGAAAAGTTTAGGAACCTCTGCACTAGACTATCCTGCCTCCCAATAATTTTTGTAAAAATGAAATATTTCCTTATGATAAATCAGCAGTTTATTTTACCGACTCACTTTTAGCTGCCTGGTTAAAAATGAACATGCCTCTAAGATTTTAAAAATTCTGCTTCCCTTGTGTAACAGCTTTATTAATAATATCAATACAGATCTAGGACTAAAGTTAGTATTTTTCAACTGGCCGGCTTGTGAGCACATTGGGCCTGATTTTCCAACTTTAAGTGTGGAAGTCCACAGATGTCAATGGTGTTACTCTAGTGCAAAACTAGTGTGAGAGGTTGAATTGGGCATAATGTATGGGAGTTCTGTAAAACTGAGTTTCAGATGATTTCATATACAGTTGATTTCTTTATATGCCATGTTAAAATGTGCTTATGTAGTGTCTTACGTTCATATGATTTGATGTATTCATATGCACAAAGAAATATAAAAAAAGTAAAAATCTCAAGCAGACAAAATGAACCCCCTTATGAAGAATGAAATTAGACAAGGGTCTTCAAGAAAAGTATTAAGAAATAAACAAATAACACTGGTAAATATATGTAGTAGTGTCATGATTGTTTTGCTTTCCAGTTTTAACTGAAGGATGGAATTTTTCAAAAGTACTGAGAGTCAGCACTGGCCTAACTTTGTTTCCAAAACTCCCATTGATTTTAATAGGTGCAGATTTAGGACCAGTCTGAGTGCTTTAAAAAAAAATAAACCCCAAAGTTTTTGAATGTATAGTTATGCACTGTTAATCCTGCTTGAATACAAGGAATGTTGTGTAAGTGGAACTGTATTTTTATGGATTTCGTATGAGCTTGAAACTTGGCTCAACTATCAGTTTGGTCCATATGGCTTTTAAAAAAATTCATGTGAATAGAAATGCTCTGACTCATTGTTCAGACTGAAAAATGCAAGTTCATACGTTGTAGCTAACACTGCTCTACAGCCAAAATGCTTCTGAAATAAATGTAGTCAAACGTTACTAATTCTGGGTCACTGAGAACG